GCAAATATAATAATTATTATGTTAATTTGTGGTTTATTCAAAACAAAATTGAAACCGATTGCCATTTAGTCAAGCTGAACGAAACGTATTTAGTTTATGTATAAGTATATTATGTATATATCTATGTAGAAAATAAAAACGTTTATGAAATTTCACGAATTGTTTACATTGTGTTTTATTGATCAGTGTGAAACAACAACAGCAAAAAGCTATTTACGAGCTATTTGAATATTTGCACAGCTGTTGGCGCAGACTTGCTGATTCATGCAAGGCTCACCTGTGCAGCTGAAGGGAACACCTGTGCACCTGCATAGCTCATTAATGGCTGAGTGTTAAAATGCAGCCAGATGAGGAAATTTTTGGCATTGCCCACAATCAGACAGCCAGACAGACAGCGCGATAAGGTGCCGGCGAAGGGCGGGGGGCGTGGAGCACAATGCACAGCGCAACTTCCGCTGTCAAGGGTGGAGCCAGCAGGTGCTGCTTGAGAAGTGTCTGGGGGAGGGGAGCGAGGGGGACAACATACATAATTACATGGCATTTCAAGCGCCAAGCTCCATTTGAGCTTCCCGTGTTCATGGGGAGGCTGCTGCTGCTGCTGCCGCTGCTGCCCTGGACCAAGCGTAACTGCATTATTAATTGCAGCTTTGATTTATCTAAGAAACAAGCCCCCACCCAGCCTAGACCAAATTGCCCCACTCTAAGCTGGCCAAGGGGTGGCTCGCCGCTCGCAGCAGTTTTCCATGACGTTAAACTCGCAAATGTTTAATCGTGGAAATGAGAAATATGCGGAAACGTTGACGATTCCGCTTCAGCAACGTTGCAGCGTCGACTGCACTTGTCGCATCACTTGATGCCAGGCCCGTGCCCAAACCCCAGACCCCAGACCCCAGACCTCAAACCCAAACAGTAGCCCAAACCCTAGCTAACTCAAGTCTCTCACTCTCCCTCTTGATCACCCCATGCACGCCCATGCCCATTCCCGTTAGCATTAACCCGACTGCCAGCTGCATGTCACTGGCATTGTGGGCTGTCTAGCCATCAGCATCTGTAGCTGTCCGTTTCAGTCGCACTCGCTGTTGCACGACCCACCTACCTCCCTCCCGCTCCGCGCTGCCCGCTCTGGCCCTTTACTCTCTACTTACTAAATGACACAAAAATATGGGCTTAACCGGAAACGGATGTATTATCTGCGCTAACTGCGCTGCCTCGGCTCGGTCTCCAGCTCGAGCTCGAGCTCGAGTTSGGGTCGTGGAACTAATAGAATATTATAAATTGTACAGACAGCGCATAGAGACTACATATATATACATATATTTATATACATACATATGTGTGTTTGTATATACATATATATGTTTATATATGAACCTGTGCCCAAGCTATTTTGCCTTCTCCACTGACCCACGCCTGAAGCTGACGGCTCCGCTCATCTGTGTCTACATCTGTGTTCTCTCTTCTGTACGTATGTGTGCATGTGTGTGTGTTTGGCTGTGTTTCGTTCGTTACGCTTCTGTGCGCATTTTGGACTGTGCTTTTTGCGGCCCGAAGCGTTTTATGTTGTTGTTGTTGTTGTTGTTGTTGTTGTTGTCGTTGTTGTCGGCCCTCGCATGCCTCGCATGCAAAATCTACTATGCTCCAATCGCAATTCTCTCTTCCCTTTTGCCCTTTCCACATTAGTTTGTTGCATGTGTGTCATGTGGCCGGACAACGGACAACTCTTCCTCCACACCCCTCCCCCCTCCCTCTTTCTCACTCAGTCGCTATCTGCCTGCTCCACTGCATTCGTTTGCATGTCGAGCACTTGCCGAAGCGCTTTCACTTTTCCCAACTTTTTGTCAATTCAAGAATTCTTGTCGTACAATGAACCCAACTAGATTGTAATTTTTTCATGTTCGATAATGTTGTAATGAAACTGATTGCATCAAACGAAGTTTTGTGAATACTTATAATGCAAATCTTTAAATATATGTCAGTAGAATATTTTTGCATGCTAATCAAAGGTTAAATGTTATAGACAAAGACTATATTTCTTATTTATTTATAAGCATATTTTTTTTTTAGAAATAAAGCTTAAAATATAATATTAAGTATATGCAAAAAATTATAAAAGTATAAAAAATATT